ACATATTGATTCATTTTTTGGTTTTTCATAGAGGTGATATAATTTTCATGTATCATAATGAGGTAGGTACTTTGTACAGTAGGAGTATAGGTAGAAGGTAATTCGTATACATAGGTATAATGTAAAACACATTTACACATATATACAAATTTTAAAATTGTTATACAAAGGTGTATCAGACAATTTTGTAAAGTAGGCACTAAATGTAGGTTATTTGCATTTGACTATATATTTTAATAACAAACCATATTATGGTGAGTTGTGCAGTAACTGCTGCTTTTAAAAAATGTATAGAAGTAATAACTGAATAATAGATTGTTAAAATATAATATATAATGAAGTATCGCTTGTATATTTAGAAACTAAATTAAATTTTATTCCGAAACTTTGAGTGTAAGTACTAAGTGTACAACTATTACATGCGGAACGTGACATGAAATATTTAAACCAAAGAGTAAAATAAATCAACGGAAAAAAACAAGGGAAGTTTCTCTTCTGTATAGAAGGTGTCGAATGTACTTCATCATTGCAGGTAGATCACTGTTGTAATAGTCGTGTACAATTTGAATTCAGAGATAAATCATTATACACGAATTTTATCAAAATTTGAACTTCAAAGTTCAAACGCTTATATTCAAAGAAAATTTGTGTATTTATATTTTAAATATTTTTAAATTGTTATACAAGAAAACATTTAAGGGATCTTGTACCTATTTACATTTTTAAACATTTTAACCAAACAAATTGTTTACAATTTGTATTTCTTGAAAAATAACAAAATCACAAAAATTGTTTTTCTTAACATAGAGGATAAATCGTTTATTATACGTTTGAATATCCAGTGATGTCAAGATATGTTAACATTATAAATAAAATGTGGCTTGTATAAACTTTTTTTTTAAATTCTATTTGAAAACTTATGAAAATTCTTGTACCTATTACATTTTTAAGCCTCATATATGTTAAAATTAAACGGTTTATGAATTTTTACTTACTAAAAATTTTACATATTTTCGTAATTTTGACGAATTTTGAAAGAAATGGGTGTATTATAACCATGTATTACATTTTTAACATTTTTACTCACAAATTAAATTTGTTAATTATGATTTATGAAAGTAAGTAATGAGTATCATAAACTAAAAACTAAATTAGAAAATTTCAAATATTTATAAATAAAAGAAAAAATAGCAAAACTATTTTTAATGTGTTATGATTTCTAGTACATTTTATATGAATATTTGGTGAAAATTGTAAATGTTTCAAAACTTTATATTCGGGAATCTTAAAAATATGCATAAATTACAATATCCTATTAAAATACAAAACACTACATATATTATTGTATATTACTTAAATAATTAGGATTACAAATGTTTGTAATTGTTATACTTATATATTATAAACTTGTAAATGAAAAATAAGCGTTTGGGATGAAAACAAAATCTATGTATACCAACCTATCTAGTTCAATCGTTATAGCCATTGTGTGTGTACTAATCTTCTTAAATAATCTATTACATTACATGAATTATTTTATATAATATGTGGCACATTCAGCTTATATAATATGTAGGTATCAAGTTTTACTGTTTAAGTATCAGTTTTTTACAACACTCAACTTATTTTAATCTGGTACTAAGAAATGTATTAGTCACATTCCTTATTAGCATACATTCAGTGTCCCCAGTGCTGGATTAACCATTGGCCCCCCGCCAATTAAAAATTAATTTTACCAGTGAAAAAAAATCCACTTACCTAACCCCGTTGTGGAAGGGAGAAGCGTCATTAACCGTAGGCCTAAAACACGTTAGAAACTATCCGCAATGTATAATCAGTTTGGTTAAAGAGTTTAAGTTTTAGTTTAAGAAAGCTTGTTTTTATTAACCAACAATTAATTTTTAAATTTTTGTTCTTGTTTAAATAATTGTATAAAATAAAATTATTATGATTATTAAAATGTCAATATAGTTTCATAATAATTAGGTACACCTTTTTTTTATGTTACTGGTACCCAAATGAAAGGTATAAACTAGTCTTTACTTCTATAGCCTATATAGGTACAATACATGTCGATATGTTATCAATCATAATTAATTCATTAAGGCTGGTTCTGACCATCTCCGGTTCAAGTTAACGGACACTTAACCGGACATTGTAAGAACGGCCTTAAGTATATATTTATAAGAAGTAAGAAACTATATACCTATACTCTCTTGTAATTAATAATTAATATCACGTTACCATATAAAAGCATTACAACTTTTATAAACACTTAAGTATCAAATTATTTTAATATTATAGTATAGAGATTTTAATAATGTATAAATTATAAACATAGATGTATACAATAATATATAAGTATATATAATATATATTATATTAAGGACAAAATAAAAAACTGTTATTTATCTTTTGGTAGGTAAAATAATTGTTATTCTAATTTTATAAAAGTTTGAGCTATACGGCAAGACAATGCAAATAGGTAATGGTAGTCATTTTAGAAAAAATTGTGGTTTTAAAAATCTCAATGAGCGCATTGCCCAAGAAGTTGATCAGGTTAATGCGGTGACAGTACTATATTCCTTACGCGATATCAGTCTTCTTGGAATATTACGATCATTTGAAATGTAGATTACCTATTTATAAATAGTAACACTGTAACAGGTAGGTATAAAATCAGTTTGCTTATTGATGTTTTATTATAACGTCTCCTCAGTGCCTCCTTGCACTACAGTATATACTAATTATTTTAAATATTGTGGTAATATATAACGTGTATTCTGTATAATTAATAATTATATATAGTGCATTGTTCATCTGCATATCAGAATATATCGATATTCTATATAATATCTTATTATATGTACTTACGATAACGCGATAGACTCAAATGATATTTATACATTATATTGCACAGCATGTTGGGTGACGCTGCTATAATAAATTCAAAGAAGATATAAAAGTGTTTAAAATTTTTTTTTTTTGAGATTGGAGTCTTGCGACCAGGTCTTGCGATTATCAACATTTTAATAAGACGTACTTGTATCCGGATATTATAATTTTTAAATTATTCGTGTGCACAATACTAATGCGTACAACTAAAACCATATAGGTATATAAATATTGTTATAGGTATAAGGCGTATAACCAAAATAGGGACGGCAGGTGCAGAAAAAAAATAAAAAATAATATAAGCAACCTCGTGACAAACAAATGTTTGCGCCGCCACTTTATGGAGTCGTATCACGTCGCATCCAATATTATATACATTATAGTATTATTATACGGTTGGTTGGTAACACGTGTTTGGTATAAATAAATACAAGGTGGTCCAATTAAGTGTCTACACTCATAATTTTGTAAAGTTTTGAACTCTTTGAAAAAAAAAAATTTTTTTTTATAAGTAATTTTATGTCATCAAAAAACAACATACTATTTCATTACTATTTTATTTATCATTGTTAGGTATTTATAGACAAATCAAACAGGCCCGAAATAAAATATAATAAATAATAATAATCAAATTAGTGAACAGTGGCATAATCAGCGCTATCTATTGTTTGAAAGCCGGTTGCAAGAAGATTGGCATTCATCAAATGATTCAATAATTATCGATGATTTTCTAATTCACATGAAAGCAATTATAAAATATAGTAATAAGTTAAATAACAACCTTTTCTTCAATATACATTTTTATAAATTATTTGTCCGTATTTATTGTTTTCTTTTTAATAATAATATTTTATGATGTAACATGTTTTTTCATAAATAAGTATTTAAAAAAGTAACTTTAAAAATTTGTATTAAATATTAGTAAGTATTTTTTTTTTTTTTTGGAAGGTCACTTACGACACCGTTACCCTAATTAACGAATAACTATACTCGCCCGAAACTCGATTATAATGTATCAATACATTCCGAAAAATATTATGCTCTAACATCAAACTAAGCAAAAATTATAAAGTAAATATAAGTAAAAAATAATGAATATATAGTTGCTTAAAAGGATCACCTTGTATAAATACTGCAAGTAGTTGTACGTATATATATAGGTTCTCAAGTGACACACTGCAGCACGATAGGGGGTATCTTAATGACTATATATATATATATACAGGATACATCGTGATGTTGATTTTTTGTTTCGACATGACAATATAGCTGCTGCAGCTGTAGAGATATAGCTAGGATTTATAGAGCTGATTTATGTAAATATTGTATAATCTGAATTACTAATATCCATTAAGTATTCAAATATAGTTATGTCGGTTTTAAGGTTTAGTCCGGAGGTGGACGAACGAGTAAATACATCACACATTCACACAGTAGGAGGGCGTGAATAAGAACTCTGTTATACATATCCAGATTATTGTGACACCCTGTAGGTTAGATACTTAAATAGGTACCTATAGTTAGATACCTGTGTATGATGTAAGGACTGATCCTTTGACTGGTTAAAATGAGTTTCTTGGTAAAAACTCATTACTCGTTTTTTAAGTTTTCGTGAAGATTTCAGAGGCAATTACTGGCAAAATATTTGTTGAAAATAATCTGTGTAACTAACGAGTTAAATAGAATATTCCGTCCATTTAGTATTAGTGATAAATTGCTATAGCCCGCCTTAAACTCCTAACGGGTAATATCACAAGCGGTAGATAAGACCACATAATATACCTGTACCTAATAGTCATAATAATTTGTCACAGTACCTGTACAGCTTACATAGATGGTAGATGACGTGGAGTCTTGGGTAATAGGCAGTATAGTATTATTTTTTATAAGTATTTGAGTATTTATTCCGAATACTTTTTAAAAGTAATAAGTTTGATGATGTGGTGTGTCGATAGATATACGGTGCCAAAAATATACGATTTAATACAATAATTATAATATACTAACAGGTTATTATCAAGCTACTATGTGTCTTGTGGACCTTTTAACGTAAAATGTTATGATGATTGATATCAATATTCTGAATAGATATTTTAATTTTACAGGATTTGGTCATTGATTAAACAAGTAGTTCATCGTTCTGACATGACGTCGTCGTTGCCTTACGCACAATTTGAAAACGAAAACTATTCTGATGAACAATTGGATCTCCCTACGACTTCGGTAAGATTGAATACTATTAAAATTTCCAATTGAACCATAAATTATAATGATAGCTAGTTACCACGTAGTTGTGATTCAAAATTTAAAAAAAAAATGCGGTTAATCAGGTGTGGTATCTTCCATGAATTGTTTTTTTCGAAAATAATGTTATCAACACGATAATATTTACTATCACAATAATAATATTTAATAACAACAACACTGTATAGTTGAAGTTCAACAATTTTTGCACATTATTCGTTTTCTTACCTACTACAAACTTTGATATAATTGAAGGCCCTCGAAACTCAAAACTCTACTGTCCCTGATGATGTACCTTAAGTAAGTAGTAATCGTGTGAATTCGATGGTTTCAGAGGGATATTAAAGTTTATCATATTGATGGCACGTATGAAACAGTTTCAGTTACCCAAAGCACAACATCCGAACAAGTATGCTCTCAAATAGGCAAAAAAGTTTTTATCCAATATTATGGCTGGTCAATTGTGGAAGTTTGGAAGGACGAAGGGATAGGTAATTAATAATTATGTACTTTTAATTGTGCTGTTTAACCTTTGTTAATTACTGTTGGGTATACCTAATAATATGTTCATTTTTGTTAAGAGAGAACATTAGAAAATCATGAATCTGTGTTAACATGTTACCGTAGAATGGAGCATGAGAATAACAGAATTTTGGTGCTCCAACTAAACAACAAAATGTTTCACATGTTCAAGAACCCAGAAGTAAATTTTATTTCATGTATAGAGTGGGCCATGAGAATTAAAAAATAATAATAATATTTTTCCAGTCAAGCATCTTAGGGCCCATCCTATATGTACATTTTTCAACTATTCTAAGTTCTAACTATGAATATTTTTTTATAGGAATTCTCTCTCTACAGAACACTGGATATTGGTAAAAAAAAAGAGGCCCAACTTATTCAGGTAATTTAATATTTTATCTAATATAAAGTATAAAAAATATTTTTTTTTTATTAATATCTGAATTTATAGAAAAATAAATAACAACTTCTTAAGTATCAATTTATTAAAAAAATTTAAAAGGATATAAAAATATTAGGTACCTATATAAAATTATTTGGGAGTAGGGTTGCCAAATTTTAATCAAGGGTACCAAAAAATAAAAAAAGGTAAATTTTCTATGAATTTTTATTTAATATTACCTTGTGGTCAACATATATAAATACCTATAGAGCACATTAATATAAAATATATATATTCAAATGCAAGTCTAAAGCCATAGATTATTTGATTTATTGACAGCAATATCTGATAACTAATTTTACAAAAACGATAAAATATTTTTATATTTATATCAATCTCTTGTCAAAATGTTTGATCTGATGAAAATACCGTCATTTTATAGGTACACTAGCAACCGGCTTTTTAAGCTTATGAAAGTGAAGTACCGATTGTGTTGGTAAAATACTAACCGGGTAGCAACCTTAGTTGATAGTTCAGTGAAATAAGAAAGAAATGAAAATAATAAGCAGTAAAACTAATTTTCCTTCCAGTTTGTCAATATAAAATTTTTGTTTTTTTAATTGATGATAAATTAAACATATTTTAAGTAATATATACTTAGATAATTCATACATATTATGTGTATTATCTAAGAATAATATACCTATCATTCAATTAATTAACTTCCTCATAATTAAATATCTTAATAATTATATCACAATGTCAACGTATCATGTATTATGTAAATATTAACATTTCAAATAAATAGTTATAATTTCGAAGATTGAAATTAACTCAACTAGTCTTACTTCTTTGTACAAAATAAGTAACACTATTAAAAATTAAAAACATTCTAGTATTTTCCAATTTTCAGTTACTCATTAATCTAAAAAATGTATGGGGATGGGGAGTAACCCTTTTTTTTTATTATTCCAGCCCTCTACTTTTTACGTTGATTCTTCTTTAGTCAGAATTTTAAGTAATTGAACTTCAGCCAAATTTAGTACACAAATTGAAGGCCAAGTTAAATGTATTTGAAGTGTTATATTTTGTGAATCAACATATTCATTATAAACATTTATTTTATTTATACTTTAAAAAAATGTAATTTGTATTATTTTGTAGCATACACATTTTTCTAATTATTATTATTAATAAATAACAATGACTTAAACTTGAAATTTGAAACAAATCAATTTCTTAATATTTTAACTATAGTTTAAATAATTTAATAGTAAATCAAAAATATGTTATACACCACTGATTCTAATTAAATTAACTTCCCTTAAATTGTCCCTTTATAAAAGCTTTTACTAAATATTTTTTAGATTATTTATATTTTTAAAATATTTTTTGTAATATATGTATAGAAGTTCTACCAAGTGATAAATTGTATTTTCATGATCTATTTATGTATACCGTGTTCCTATAAAAATTACCAAATGGTTGCCTGAATTCAAAATATTAATCATTATGCTTATTTTATTATTAATGCATTACATTATCCCTCAATAGTAGTTATTAGTGAATATTGTATGACTGTAGTATTTTATGTTGAAATTGATTTAAACATTTTAAACCTTGATTAACGAAGTATTCAATAAACATAGATTAACAGAAACTAAACCTAACAAATGTATTTTTAATACACTGTCTACTTGTTAACTTTTTTAAACTTCAAATAATTACTTGATGAATATTTAAACTAATTAATTTGAATATATATATTAGCTTAAATCATAGATTATTATTAAATATTTGTAAATAGTTCAAGATATTGAATAAGAATTAATAATTAATTCTAGATTTGTTAAAGTAGTAAATAATACCATATTATCGTTGTTTATTATTTTTAGAAAGTCCTCAATGGGGACACCTGTCCGCTACATTTTGGTCAAGTATGGGTATATGATTGTAATAAAACAAAGCCCTTCTGGGATATCACAGTTTTGTTGCTCAAGGATAAAAATCTTTATCTCTCATCAAATGTAAGTATTTAAAATTTCTAGTAGTTAACTAATAATCACAAATGTACATAGTAACAGTGGTGCCAAACATGTAATTCAGGTAGTTCAGTTAAACTGCCTTAAAAATTGGGTGGGTGGGTGCCAGGTGGGTATAACAATAAAGTGTACCTTCTAGTCTTTCTCTTATATTCATATTAAACACAGAAATAAAATACTAGAATTAGTTAAGTCTCTCATATTTTGTTTGAAGGGGTGGGCAAGACAATTGATCTATTTGAACTGCCAGTTTTAATTTCATTTGGCGCTACTGCATAGTATATATTATATATTATATAATTGTTATGTGGTTTTTAATTTTGCAGCACAAAAGCATAATACCATACATTAGGAAATTCGGGATTAACTACTTACACAACTTTATCATGGTAAGATAATACATCAGTCTTTGTGTTGATACTAGTTAAATAATAGAAAATTAATTTTTCTATGAATATTTTATATTAATTTTTATTTTTATACTACCATTAATTTTATTTTGGGACTAGTTAAAAGAGGCTTGTCGTTTTATTATGAATAACTATCCATCTGTAACTACGGATGATGTTTTCAATGTCATTCAAATAATGAAATTTTAAATGAAAATAATAAAGTATAATTTATGAATGTAAAATAATTGCATTATGTCAAGATTTGGCAATAGTATAAAATGTGCATAAGATAGAGTTATTTAATTTGTCATTTTTTTACTAATTTAAATTTATTTAGTTCTATTATATTCAATATAATGAACTCAATGAAATTTGTTGGTTATGCATAACTTAGTATGTAATTACATACTAAATAATTTACCATTCAAAATATCTAATATTTTAATTTTTTCAAATAATTTGTAAGTAATTTATTCCTCAAATTATTATTTCATTACTAATTGTAGTTTATGTATATGGTAATTTTTCATATAATTGTATTAGGAGGTATAAGCAGTGGTTTGAACTATAAATATATTATTACTGCAATTGTACATATGTAATGATCAAAACCACATGATTTCTATGGAACTTGTTTTAATATAATGTTATAATCAAAGTATTTTTAAATCAATTCCAAATTATTGAATCTTCAAATTTGGATAGTTCAGTGATAATAAGTTTTTGCCCTGACATTTGTCTATTTGTTCATTACAATAATGAATAAATTAATACTTCAATTACAACAAAATCTAATAAGTAACAATTATCTAAATAAAAATAAATTTCTGGATTGGAGTGGGGCGGTTGCTGCTATCAGTCATTCAACGTGATTGATAGTAGACACCGTCCGCTGCCACTAGTTCCCAGATGGGTGACCACCCGGGTTCTTAGTGATAGAAACCTTAATGGTCTTAGTAGCAAGGCTCAAGACCTATAAGAAACAAAAAAAATATTTATTTTTAGTAAGTATAAAAATTAAAAAACTATATTAAAAAATAAAATATATAATAATAAAATAAGATAATAGTATATATTAAAATTATACTGTTATTGATATAAATATAGAAATGTATTATGCTTCTTCACTTATAATATAAATTATTAATCACTAAAACATAAAATACAGTAGACGCCCCTTATAATACTCACATTGGGACCAGCACAAAGTGAGTCTTATAACCGAATGAATCTTATAGGCGAAGTGGGAAAAAAAATTAATTACATATTTATGAATTTTATTTTACTACATATTTTTCTTTAATTTTTATACTCTAATACATATTACATATGACATACGTATTATTGAATAAATTAAAAAAATTAAAATTACAATACATGTAAAAAATGATTATATGCATTAATAAAAAATTATAAAAGATGTATGTATAATGTACCTATTTATTATTTATGAAAAAAAATTGTGATTTTGTTTTTTTTTTAGTTATAAACTAATATTCTGGAAATATATTGGAAAATGTGAAAGACAATACAATTTGTTGTACATACACACATAATAAAACAAAAAACATTAATTTATTCTAAATTTTGACCAAAAATGTTTATTTTTTTACCATTTTTTTTTTTAAATTTGAGTCTTATAAACAAATTGTTGAGTCTTATAACCAAATTTTTTATAACGTATTTGGATACGTCCTGACCGTTTCAGACAATTTTGAGTCTAATAAGTGACTGAACCTTATATCCGTGAGTCTTATAAGCAGCGTCCACTGTATATGAAATTTACCTAATCCAATATTCTTAAAAATACTAAATAATTAAAGAATATAATGCATCTAGTTGAACATTGAGATAAATAGATCAATAGCTAGTATGCTTAAATATTTTCATCGACTTTAGCAAACAAAAATATTTAGTCTTTAAAAGAGTTATCTTAAAGTATTTTTCTCTTTGTAGAGTGCCAAAGATTAGATTTACTAAGTCCTGATGGGACGTTTGGTCATCATAGGTATCAATTATTTCACTTGGTTAAATAAGAGCTTAAGATTTTTCAAATACGACAATAATTACTGAATAACATAACATTTTTTAAATTGGGATACATACTTTCTCATTTGGGGCAATTTATTCAAAAAGCTATTGTTATTTATTTTTAAATTTATAACAAACTCATAATTTATTTTTAGTTATCAATAATTATTAAGTTTGTCTGTGTAATATATATATATATATATATATATATATATATATATATATAATATAGGCAATACTGGCAATTGATTGGCTGTAGGCTAAACTTCTATTAAATTTTATGAAATTTTGTTACTAGAGGTCAACATTGCATGTGGTGGTTTTCCATCGTCTTTATTAACTAATTTTTATAATTTATTAATCATTTATATATTACCAAAATAAATTTAATTATTTTTCAACCAACAGTAACCATAAATTATATATTACATTATTACAATATTAACAAATTAAGTAATTTACATTTATTATTTATTTTATGCTCAGGTTCTACAATTTCTTTTGTAATCAACAATGAGGTCATTTTAAACTATAGCAATTTTTTTTTATTTTATCATAAATAATTTATGTGTAGTATCTTATTACCATGTGAACTTGTGTTAATACTGTTAATAATTTATAATCCAAAACAATTAATACTTACTATTTATTATTTATCTTATCAGATTTTAATGACTAACTAGTGAATGACATACAGAAACTTATAATCCATTTTTGAATACGTGTAGATTAATGTGAATTACCAATAAAATATAAGCTATAGTTTATCTAGTTTTCTGTAAGTACAGACATTTTGTTGCACATGTTCTCACATTTAAATATATAGGTATATATTATGATTTTTATCGTATAGGCTAAAATCTACATAATTTGATTGCTATTTAATTAAAACATAAGAATTAGAAATAATATTTCTATTGCAATTATTGATGTTTGCAGTTGTCTAATGGTTAACATTTATTTTGAATTCTATATCACTTTTTTGGATCATTTATTATATAAAAAAAAATGTATTTAATATCTCTTGAGTAGGTTTAGCATTTTATCAACTAATGGACACCTGAACTAAAATCGTGTTTTAAAAAAAAATAGTTTCTTTTATATTTTATATTAATAGATTTATTCGCATGAATTGCAGAAACATATTGTAACATAACGGCAGTGATATTTTTTATGACCTTTGACTATTCCTACTGATATATACAAACATACACGATACACTCTAACGTAGGTTACTACTCATAAAGTTATATGTAAAATTGAGAATGACAAGAAAATAGGAGTGTCCATTTGCTGGATCTCTTGACAATGTCGGCAAAAACCTACGGCAAAATAGTGAAAGATAACTTGGGCCCATGCCACAAGGTTTTTGGCCTTAAAATTCGGTCAATTATTATCAGCGTACAGTAATAATAATAATAATAGTAATAATATGTCTTCAGAATAGTTGGCAACAGCGTACGTGAACCAGAACCAAAACATAATTTTTGATTGACACATTGCTTATGGTGAGACGTTGCCAGTTTGCGCGTAATCCGTATACGGTATACTTCAATAGTAATATTTAGAGGTGTGTTACATGCTCGATGTATTAGAAAATTAGGTAGTAATAAATTTGTTTTATCAAAATATTCATCAATAATTATTTGAACGAATTTGACGAATGCATTGAGTTAAAATTTAAAAAAGAAACATTGTCTTAATTTGTCTGTAATTGTTTTATTATTGCGTTTTAAACACTTATGACTTATTGAGTTTTTTAAAAATTATTTTGAAGGTGTCCTAAGTCTCCATACGCATGTTATTAACTTATAGAAACAGGGTAGATCGTAGATCGAACGTGTTAATGTTATAAAGATTAGAATATTATCTAATAAAAAAAAACCTGCGAAGTCCATAGTAGGTGACGGATCTACCTCGTCATTCAGTAGGTCACTGTAATAGATGTGTCAAATTTAAATTTAATGATAAATCATTTAGTACGTTCAAATAAGACTTTTAGCGGGGATGACGGCTTATGTTTACACATTTTAAACGCTTAAAAAAAAATTGTGACTATGTATTTTTGATATTCTAAAATTATGATCTTAAACCTTGTATTACATTTTCAAACTTTTTTGCTCTCAAACAAATTTGTTATTAAACATAAGTCGAATAAGAACAAACAAATTTTTAAGTTTTAAATGGTCTATAAATAAAACAAAAATAACCAAAATATTTTTCTATGTCTTTTGAAAATCCTTGTGTTAATATTATAGCTTATGGTTTTTAACACAAAAAATCATCAATGTAGAGCAAACATATACAGTATACACCCCTCCACTTAGAATCTAAAAAAAATTTATATTTTATGTTCATTAAAATTTAAAATATATTATTATTATTTCAATGGCTTGTAATAACGTTCCGATTGATTGTTAATAACCGTTGTGGTTTTTTCGACCTTGAATTTATACGAATTTTCACTAAACAAAAGGATTACAAATTTGAGTGTTTTTTGTTTGCATGAGGTAATTTGTTCGTATTGGCAACGACGTTTCGTGTGGTAAGCCCGGGAAAACAATAAAACCCTCCAATCCAAGTATCCAACAATGGCTATTATTGATTCTACGATGGGTTTTTTTGAATCGTTGTGAAGTTTTCGCATAAATTACAATCGGCTACAGAATTTGGAAAATCTCTGTAGATTTTCCAGAAGGTCCGATTTATATGCGTGCCGTGAATAAATCTTCGCGAAAAATGGGTTGTTACGTACCCATATATTGTTTGAAGGTGCGGGCGATTTATTTAAAAATTCACCGTCTTCATTGTACCCAACATTTGTTGCAATTATACTCAAGAATAGGATTAGATATTATATAAGGGGTGATTCACCATTTTATTCTTCAATATTTTTTTCTGATCCTGGAATTTTCAAGCATACTTATTACTTAGGCCCATATTTTCAAATATTTAGATTTTTATAC